TTCTTAATATAGTAAGAGCATTGGTATTAGATTATAAGACGTTTACACTAATTTAGAGTAATTGTTTGAAAAATGTTTGTTGTAAAGGAGCAAAATTGTCGCATGATGAATTAATACTGCAAACAAATATTTCAGAAAGTATAGCACTTAATAATCCATGTTAAATAAACTTTTTTTATAAAAATATTTTCGAAACTTTATGAAAATTAGAGTAATTATAAATATGCTAAATGTTAATGTATGCAATGGAAGAAAAAAACTTTCAGTAGATATTTATTCATTTAATTGAACCAAAAATTGAGTAACAGAAATTTAGAAAAAAAATTTTTTTAGGTACATCAAACGCAAAGTTCTTTTTACGTTCTTTTGGGAACTTGAACTTGTCTATAATTCCCTGTTCTTTGAATAAACGTAAGTATAAGTAATGCGAAAAATCACAAACAATATCACATTTTTATTTCGTTGCCTAATTTTATTCATATGTAGTATATATATTCATATGTAGTAGTATATCATTTTCATAATGATAAAATTCTCTGACTTTTTCAGAACGATAAAATTCTGTGACTTTTTCAGATTGATAAAATATATTTTCATTCAATAGAAAGTCACCCACTACAGTTAATAATCGGTATTTAAGAATAATTCGATATTCATGGATCTTAACGAACAACTTTAAAAAGTATTTTTTATTACATACTCCAAATTTCCACCGCAATTTATAGAATTTCAATCGCATTTAAATTCATCCAACAAGTAATCTGAGACAAATCCTTCGAGATATAAACAGATCAATCTCAAAATAACAAACACTTTAAAAAAAAGAGAGAGACTTTCACACAATTCGTAAATCCATTCTGAGAAAGGAGATCAGTCATCAAAATATGGTATATCATTTTTATCCCTAAAACAAACATCATAATCCCGACAGAAATTGTAATTTTGCAGTTGACATTCTTTCTTGCATCATCTGCTGCTGCAGCTGATGATGTCGCTTTCCGATAAGAAAGTGAAAAACAAATGTCACAGGCATAGATGTCAGATTAGAGGTCACTGCCTTCCAATAATGACCGATTAAAGTGGAAAACCGACATTATCGGCGGCAATATGTGTGTATTTAGAACAGCAGAAGGTCGATGGACTTCGAGGATGCGGGGACAGAATTGAAATACTGTTTTATATAAACGCCTTGTTGATAAATCATCAATTCACACATTATTTAAGGGAGTCATTTATATTTTATAAAAGATATTTTATTTCATAACTTTATAACCGGCGACGAACAGCAGTAGTTGGATAAAGAGAGTACGGCGACCGGGATTTCGGGGATTTTCGGGGATTCCGCGGGTGTACTCTTGAAGGGGGTTGGGGTGATCCATCAAATGTGACAGCTACTATAGTTGAGGGTGTTTTTTTTTTTATAATTATTTTTTTTTAATCTTTATTTTGNATGTCATTGCGCTTTTTTCCCATGAATCATTATCTTTTTTTCCATAATTCGGTTAAAAATAAATTTATAATTAAATTAATATTCATAGTTAATAAAAATCAATTAAAAAGATTTAATTACAAAATAAAGATTAAAAAAAAATAATTATGAAAAAAAAAACACCCTCAACTATAGTAGCTGTCACATTTGATGGATCACCCCAACCCCCTTCAAGAGTACACCCGCGGAATCCCCGAAAATCCCCAAAATCCCGGTCGCCGTACTCTCTTTATCCAACTACTAACAGCCGACCCAATTTTGAATTGACGGCTGTCAATGTTCAACTCCTGTAATTTTGAAACCAATCCAGAAGACAAGAGAACTCCTGGATCAAGCATTGGGACAAACTAGTTTTCGTAAAGGAGTTTTGAATGCTCAAAACAATATGTTGAAATACATTGTTCCGAACGAAGATGGAATGCACATTAAAACAGACTATGAGCTAATGAAGCTTTGAGTTCACGATTTTATTTTATAACGGTCGTTGAACAGCAGACCCAAATTTGAGTGAACGACTACCAATGTTCAACTCCATAGCCATGTCATTTTGAATCCAATCCAGTCCAGAAGACAAGGGAACTCCAGGATCAGTACCCCGAGAGGTATGAATTTGTTGTGGGAACTTGGAGGACTACGTGACCCTGACAGATTTAACGCCCACCAGACACCATTTAATACACGGGGATACGAACTCCCGTTTTCACGAACGCGAGTCCCATGTCCTACCCACCAGGCTTTCCTGGCCTTGAAATTACGATTTGTGATATTGTGACGATTGTGATTCATTAGACTCATAATTTTTAACCGAATTCAAGAAGGCGGAAAATCTATCACTTGCACAAACTCGCTATCCTGGTGGTAATTTTAGTGCAACTAACCAGCATTTGCGTCACATTGAGAGGAAAACCACGAAAACCTTTAATAATATAATACTAATAATAATGATAATAATTAAAAGTCAAACAGAGCTACTAACTCAAAAATCAAGAACAAATGAAATGGTGTGTAAAATTTTTAATTATATGATATAATAGTAAGGCGGAAAAGATTTAGTGGTTCACATTCGGGGAAGAGTTTAGACCCCACTAGAAACAAGGGCTCTCAATATATTTATTTTAAAACGTTTAGAGTTTAGTCAATTAATCATCTTTGAATGTTAGACTTCAAAAATTTAATAAAGTATTTTAATATAATCCTAATTTAATTTAACGCTTGCCACAATTTTTTTTTTTAATTGATAACTGGAATAAAAAAAGTTCTTAGCCAAAAATACAGATTCAGCATATTGGTCTCTGATAATATTAGTCTATAAAAATTTATATTTAAGCAAATCAACAAGCGTAAAAATTTTATCAAATTTTATACAAAAATCCATTGAATAATATTTTCAATAAAAGTAGATAAAAATAATATCACGATATGACTGCACAAAAATTGTTGATTAGCATAACATAATACACATTTATAACGCCATACAGTAGTGTTACAGTAGTGTAAGTGTGGTAAGCGTACCCCCAGGGGTACGGGAACAGTTTAGCGGGGGTACGCGTTCTTATGCGAAATATCTTGCAATAAACGAAAAGTTCAAAAAATGTTATTTAAAAACAAAGCTAGTCATGAAAATTTACGATTACGTATTTTTCTATAGGCTATTTTTTGCAGAGTCAACAGTTAACAATTAGTGGTGTCAACAGCCAGTTGTGATTTTTAACTTTTGTGCAATTTTCTTTTATCACAGCAAAAACAACTGATGCAAATAAACTTATTAACAAAACTTTGTACCAAAAAAGAAAAAGAAACATATTTTTAAAAAAATACATTCATTTTTTTATTAGTGGTACACAGTGTTACGAAAAATTTAGAAAGGGTACACAAAAGTCGTCAGTTTGGGAAACACTGCCATACAGCAATACAAGGAGAAGATAAATATTAATAAGTCAATTAAAATACCAAACATAATAACAAATTTATAATTTTACATTACTCTCTATTTAATAAGCATAATTCAATAATCATAATTATAATTTAATACTCTCTCTCTCTTGTTGCTACAGTAAAGCCCCGATTATCCGCGTTGTTGATTATCCTTGAGTTCGGGGAAGATATCAAAAGTTATATTGCACATCACTTTAAAAAAAAATATTAACCACTGCAATCAAAAAATATGAAAACAATATTGAAAATAATATGAGGAAAATTTACGGAATCCACATTTATGGCTAATGATAATTATCACCAAAATTTGTTTATTTATTTCTAAATATTTTTAGGTCTACATACTCATTATTTTTTACCCTATTGATTAACTTTCACGTTACATTTTTGATCATTGTTAATTATTTATTTTAACTGCATTAATTATTTAAACTGCTTAATAATCTTTAGTTAATGATAATTAGAACACACTGCCAATTTAATACAATTGCAACTCTTACCCGCAGCTGCATGACTATCATCACCAGCGACATAAAGCCACTCAATATTGTAATTTCGCATAACGATGCATTTAACGAAAAAAAATACATAAATAAATAAAAAAAAGCCTTAGATAAAAGGGTCGCCAAAGAGATAATAGTCAGATGAAAAAGAAGACAGTAATAATAAAAATAAATGGGAGTGGGAGAACGTATTTAATAAAAAAAAAGAAGAAAAAAGGAAGGGAAAAAAAGAAGAAAAAAAACGGGAGTCATAAAAATAAATTACGGAAAAGAATGGACAAGGTGATGTGAGAAGGGGGAGAACGGGAAAAAAAATGAAAGGTTCTACTGAAGAACAAATCTTACCACAAATCGATTGCGATACTACGGAGTTAGAAAATAAAATATTCTTTTTTTTTTTTAAATCCCTTTTTTAAACTCGCTTTATAAGTTTGTTTAAAAAAAAATGATCGATGCATAAATTATCTTTAGTACAATGTAAGCAAAAATATAAAATTCAATATATAGCCACATTTATTAAAATTCAATATTTATATGATGTTAAAACTGATTAAATGAAAATTATTACTTAGTTTTAAAATTAAAATATTTCGTGTTTAAAAATATATTTATATTTTTTTGGTAACATTGTTTCATATTATTCTCAAACTTATTATTCTTTATTTCAAACTTATTATTCTTTACAGTGAACTGTACTCGATATATTACTATTTAATGGTACAATATCGATTTTTTAGAAAAGGCGTTCCACTTATTTATTTTTCGCTTATTTTGTAGGTTGTCTCTCTCTCTCTCTCTCTCTCTCTCTCTATATNATATTTATATGATGTTAAAACTGATTAAATGAAAATTATTACTTAGTTTTAAAATTAAAATATTTCGTGTTTAAAAATATATATATATATTACAAAATTTAATATTTACAAACTTTAAATTAAATTTAAGTGATTAATAATTAAAATAAAAAGACAGTCTAAACATTTTTAAAAAGTTTTTTATTCATTGAAATAAATAATAAATAAAAAAATAAATAACAATTTGATTTTTCTTAATAAAATATAATAAATAAATACCTTCAGGAAGAAAGAGCTTTTCAAAAATGTTTTATCCACTGCGAAGAACAATACAGATGATTACTTAAGCATACTACAAATTTCGGCTTCCTCAAAGGAAATTAAGTACTACATTTTTTTTCGTGCACCTGAAACAAAAATAAAACAATAACAATATGTGAAAAGTAAACAATGATCATTAATATAACAGAATTAAACAATTTGTTTAAATTATGAAAGGCGTGCCGTAATGTTTTCCTTAGCATCTAATATATATAATTCTCTTACGTGGCTCCCAAATTTTGGCTGTATTTCTTTTCCGCCGGTGGCAACGTTTGCTTTGTTTTGTTTACGTTACTATTTATCTTACACGGCGAATCGACCCATGATTGCCGCTAAAAATGTCACATGCCAAATCAAGTTGAGGTGGCTCAACATATAGCGCTTTTAAAAACGGAAACTGAAATAACCAGAGAGCATCAGCTGCGGCAACCTCATACTATTAAGCTAGGCAGAAGTGAGTACTCTATTTTAGTACTTTGTCGAAAGCGCCTTTTTTTTTCAACTTAGTATTTACTAAAAAGATGTAAATTTTTTTTAAAAAAAAAAAGTTTTTATATGGATTTGAATGATTGTTTTGAACTCTTAGAATTTTGTGCATTTGCAATGTACCTAAGTTAGTAGCGAGCGAAGTGAGCTTGGTTTGCGAAGCAAACCATATAAGATTGCGTAGAAATTTTCGGGGGTTGGCGAGCGTGAGTAAGCAGGGGGCGCAGCCCACTAGCATAATATAATACTTTAAAATACTTGGATAAAAAAGAACACACATCAATTTACTACCTATAAAGGCTGGGTTAAAAACTTTAAAACAGAATTTGGGGGAAAAACAGAAAGGAGTTAAAAGCCGATTATTCGAAACAACTCGAAGTTTTATACGGCAATTAACTTATTTTTTATGTTTTTAGTCCTGCCTTTGTTAGACGGGATTCGTTAAATTTCTTCAGGTTAGTAGGGACACGATAAAAGGGTATATCTTGAGCTACGAGTCATTCTGTGTTCAGATGCTGAGAACCGAAACTAAAGTAAGTCCATTTCTGTACCCTTATTAGTACTCTAATTTGGAACCCCAATAATGTTAATAATTTTCTGATTTAATTTTTGTGAAAGATTCTAAAAATATACATTAAGAGTGACCATTACGGAACATCTTGCAGTAAAAATTGGAGTAACACCAAATGTAATTCGCGAGCTTTACAGCTGAAGTATAGAATTGTTCATACGCTTATCATTTATCCGTCTTTTTCATTCAACGCCATTTCATTGCTGCTATCAGTGCAATTTTAAAATAGTTCGTTTATATGACTGGGAGGGGGGGGGGAACTTTAATTATAAAAAAAAAGTCAAAAGTAGTTTTTTTCCCTTTTTCCCCCGCTTCTAAAATTTAAACCCCCCCCTCCCTCAATTCCATCCGAATAGCTGAAACATCCGATGTCATAAAAAGGTATAGTTAGAAGTTAAGAATATAGGGGTCATTTCAGGGTCATTCGATTGTTTGCTGGAAAGGACTGCCTTTATTGCTTTCTATAACAATGGCATTTAGTGCCAAATTAATAATGAAATATTACGTCATCAAAATTATTAGTTTTACGATAAATTTCTTATAATTCCATAGTTTTCAGTCATACGTCTTCTCATCTATAACATCGATCAACAACGGTTCCCTGAAAGACATACCAGTGCTTTGTAGCTACATACTTACAGTTAGCTGATGCAAATTCAAATATTTTTTATTTAAACTTGGGATAGTTTAAATTTGATTTATTTATATTAGCATAGGTTTTTTAGAATATAAATTTATAGAAAAAATTTTAAAAAATTTCGAAGAACGATTTTTTTTAATTTTTAGATTCAACATAAATCAGTATAATATTCAGGGGTCTGTCCAGACATTTTGTGAAAGGTCCGGTTTTCGTGCTCGCATTCTTTCAACCAGAGTCCGCTTTTATAAATTTGTGCAAATAGGGTCCGGTTATTGCAAAAAAAATTTTCAAAGAGTTTTTAAATTGTAAATCGATACAAGACTATGCTCGGCACTGTAAAATTATAATATAGAAAATTATATTTTCAAAAATAAACAGCAATTACTGCTTCTAAATTAGAGCTGCAACCTACAAATATTTGGTATTTAGCCTATACTGCTGAACGCAGAATATTCATTTCGAATGAATAATGGAAGAACCGTCTGCCGAAGACAAAACTGAATTCGTTTACATCCATCCTTCTTGTTTTCTGCCCTCGGAAGGATTTATTCAATTAACAAAACAATAATGAAGATAAACAAATTCGTGAAGAGTCCGATTAAAAGAAAAATCATTTTGTGAAGGGTCCGTTTTTAAGTTAAAATATTTTGTGAAGGGTCCGTTTTTATGAAAAGATATTTTGTGAAGGGTCCGTTAACGAACTCAAATTTCTTCTAAACGGTTCTAGGAAAAAAAGGTCCCGGTAAAAAAGGTACCTGTGTAGGGAAAATTCTGTAGGGGAAATGCGTTCTAAAGTT